TGTTCATTATCATTCAAGCCAGGGACGAAGATCGTTCGTGCTGTCTGTAAAGTCTTGCAATTATTGGATTATGAAAAAATGTGTCTGACCAGTCAGCCGCACTAGTTGTCTTCATTCAACGAACATATTCTTAAAGCCATGATCAAAGTTTGGAATTTTGGTCAGCGCAACGGTTCCTGTTCATTACAATAATTGATAATTCTTCTCTAGTCCACAAGTTCTACAAGTTCTATCTGAAGTATAGCTGCATGACATTCAATGCGCAGATTAATTAATCCGAAGTTAGAGTCAAACAAATAGCGCGTAGAGGGAAAAATATAATCGCAGTATTTGGATTTCTCAAGCATTTAGGGAACTGCTGTCATGAAGTAGTAGATTCCGAGCTCCTTCTTCACCTTAACTGCACTGAGTAATACAGCTTAACACCGTTTGCAACAGTCATTTGTCCGCTACCGGTGATCGTCATCCGACTTGTCCTTGTTAGCGTTGCAGCATAAACGCAAGTCGAGTTCAAGAGCTGTCTAACATAAGTGAATATACGGTTCGTCTTTTGATGCACCTGTCCAACGCACGACAACCTGTAGTTCCGGTTGCATAAGTAGAATGGATAAAACCTACGCACGTAACGTGAAGTAGCCGACGCTACTCCCGCCTCATGCAAAAGCCTTGCAGTCTGTAGATATCTCACGAAAAAGATTCATGTTTCCCAATCCAAAATAACACCCAAGACAAGTGGTTATTGCCACAACCACAGTGTAATTTTTAGATCGATTCTGAACGGTCGAGAAACGCATATAACCGAATTCTTCATGGTCCGCAAATTTTCCCAGAACGCCGTTTGATCTGCAACGACCAGAGGAAAGCTAATTGTTTCCCAAATGAATGAAACCCTTGATTCATTTCACGCCGAGACGGGTTGTTTCTGTTTCTTCTGCCGAGATTCAGAACTTTAAGTTTCGTAAAGGTGGTATCAGACTCTGTTTAGCTGTTCGTTGAGATGCTCGAACATTGCTCAGGAGATCAGATAGAATGAAAAACAGATCTGCATCGTTGGTTGTATAATGAGTGAGAAAAGCAGTACAACGTCAGAAGAGACGTGTTATCAGATAGATATCCATATGGCACAGCACACTTGCACCACCGTCACAATCATTGGCATTGTTTTTGACTACTTCAAAAGTGCATATAATGCATGTGTAGACCGCATGCAGGAATATGACGAATTTTCGATATCATTCCACAAGTAGTCGCGGCCTAACAACGACGTCTATAACAGACCCGTTATGTGAATCCTGACATAGCCCTAACATTTTACCTGTTTTAGTATAAATATTGTAGCCAAGGTTGTCAGCGGAGATGAAGCAGAAAGGAATTCGTTCTCTGATCGCCCGCTTTAGTTTTTGTAAAATGGTATGACCTCTGCCACTTTCCAAGTCAGGCGGACTCTGTATGGCTTCTGACGCTTGGAAATTGAGCTGACAGCGAGATGCTAACAGGAATTTCGAGCAGCTTTCAAACATGTAAGCGGCGGATATGGGGACCTGCTGCCACTACATTTTCTGGCGGCCATCTTCCCTTCTTCAAGAGCAACAGTTTGAGTACCAAGACTAAATCGCACCGGGATATCGTGATCAGAACGGCCTTCGAATAGCTCATCGTGCGGTCATAAGGCTGTAGCAGATTTTTCCTTCATACTTCTTTAGACTTAGAGAAGAACGCACCATTTGATTTGCAAACAATTTGCGGTTGTCGGTAGTTTCTAGAAAAACTTAAGCGCTCTGTCTCCATAAATTTCGGTTGAATGTAAGAGCGTCCTAGGCTTGCTTACGCTTCCTCTGTCAGTTAGTTATAGGGAAACAAATTTGCACTGCGTTCGGTTTTTCGTGGAGATATCCATGCTGTTTTTCCAAGAGGCTGCCATATCATCGATCAAAAATCTTTTTTATGACGAAAAAGAAGGTGATGCCTGACAGCAAGCTATATCTGTTGAATTTCCGGAATTTAGCAGTTCACCGAGCATCAACGATCATGCGGATAACACAGCGCATGACTTACCCTGCTGTCCATTTATT